TTTTTTTTTTTTTTTTTTTTTTTTTTTTTTTTTTTTTTTTTTTTTGTTTTTTTTTTCCCTGAAGAAAAAATATCGCCTTACCTGCTCTTTTCTCTCCCGTTTGAGCCAGGAACATCAAAGCGCGGAGCTTTTTTTTTTTTGCCCTTACCGTCCTCCGTTTGACTCGGCCCGCGCGGGGGTGGGGGAGAGGAAAAAAAAAATCCAACCAAAGAGGAAATCAATCTATTATACGCCTTCTGTTGTGTATGCAATACGTATAGGTACATGTAACCTCGTATGAAATCACACACATATATATATATATATATATATACCCGCGGCACTCATGGTGGTAGGTAGTTCGGGGTGGCCAGCGGTGCGCGATATTCAATTAATTAACGAATCAAAGGCTGACCCGGTTTTTCAAAACCCGCCCTCTCTCTTTCTCTCTCCCGGCCCTTTACTGTACCGATAATCTATTTTTTTTTTTTTTTTTTTTTTTTTTTTTTTCTTCTTCACCCCCTTTTCCCCAACTTCCGCCTTTTAACGCTGTACCACGCAAAACCTATTGTGTGTGTGTGTGTGTGTGTCCGTCCGCAACAAACCCGATACGTTTGCTGATGTATATAGTGTATATAGGTACATATATGAAGTTGATGGGTATACACGTATATGTATATACAATGATAACAGTTACGGTGTCTCGTTTCTTCCAGGCTCTGATTACCGAAAACCACATAGACGTCATCTTTTTTTTGTGCTCCATCAGCTCCTGTATTGCCCCCCCCCCCCCACAAAGTAAGTAAGCGATACATCGCAAAAGCAAGTTTTTTTTTTCATCCCCCCCCCCAAGCCGTGTACTCGCTTGAACGTCACCTATAACAGGGGGATGATTGTTTTTGCGATGTATCGCTCGCTAGGGTATACAGAGAAAGCTCCGGGAAGTAGGTGTCTCTGCTCCTCTGTTTGAGATTTTCCCCGAAAGCACCGGGACGCGAGTGATATTGCCGCAGGTGTGCCGTACATGTATACACCTGCGCGATACACCCCCCCCCCCCCCATCAACCAGCAGATAAAGGTGGAGGAGAGCTATCAAAAGGAGAACACGAGAGAACGGGGATTATATAGGGGATGGCTCGAGGGGGGTGGTCGGTAAAGCGTCTGCGCGAGTATTTTTCCCCCACCCCCACCCCCTTTCCAGCAGTTTGGTTGGTAGTATACGTGGGTACCTACTCTATACTGGCATCGTCCCAGTGCCTGGTGTTGGGTTGTGTGGATACGCTGCCGCTGTACGCGAGGAGGGGAGGTTGTCGCGTTACTGCACTGCCGTCGCTGGATCGCGCCGAGAGCGTGTTACAACCGCGAGCGAGTTCAATCGGAGTCGTATAAGCGTCGAGTGTTATTGTCGGGGGGGGCAGCTGCTGCAGGGGACAGTGCGCGCACGGGCCAAACTGCTGCGGCAACATCGACACGTACTCGGTTGTACTCGGGGGAAGATGGCCCGAGGCGGTCGCGTCATCGATCGCCGTAGCCAACGCGGCCAGGAGGAGGAGGAGGAGCACCGGCAGGGAAGAATAATAATAACAACCTAGCGGGCGACACTTGCGAGAGGCATGTGCCGCTGCTGCTGAAGAAACAGCGGCGGCCGGCACTCGATACGCGTATACAAAGTACGAGGTGTGTATGTTGTATTCATGGTGTTTCGCAACCCGATGCAAACGAGTGCGGAGATGAGGAGGAGACGAACGGGTGCGCCGATGATGGTGGTGCAGGGGCTGGCGGTGGCGGTGCTGTTGTTGGCCGAGCTGTGCGGTTGTCTTCTGCTGGACGGGACGAGCGCGGCGAGCTACGCGCAGTTTCCCCGTTGGAGCGCGGGCCTCAACGGGAGCCTCGAGTTCGAGTTCAAGACGAAGCAGGGCAACGGATTGCTGTTCTACACCGACGACGGGGGCAACAATGACTTTTTCGAGTTGAAACTCGTCGAGGGGGCGCTACGTTTGCGCTACAACCTCGGCGGGGGGGCCCAGCTGTTGAGCCTCGGTAGGGAGCTCGGCGATGGCGCTTGGCACAAGGTGCTCATTGAACGCGACCGGGAGAACACAACCCTGGTGCTGGACGGCCAGGAGGCGAGCTCGAGCTCGCGGGGCACCGAGTACGAGTTCGGGCACTTGCCCGGCAACTCGGACGTCTACGTCGGGGCCATGCCCGGCTGGTACAGCACCAAGTTGACGTTGCTGGCGCTGCCGAGCGTCATGTTCGAGCCGCGCTTCAACGGCCTGATCAGGAACCTCGTCTACGCGGACGAAGAGGAGCCGGGGCTGCTCAGGCGACAGGACAGCCGTGCCAGGCGAGACGACAAGGTGAGAGTCTCTCTTTCCTATACACATGTATACATCCTTTTCGTTCCCGCGCTTATGCGGTGTACCCATTACAACATTATACATATATTTGCACGGTAAGCTTTTTTTTTCTTATCACGGTGCAAGCTCGCCGTGTACACGCGCACGCATACGACAGGGGGGGGGGGCACCAGTGAAAGTTTAATGACTCGAAAATAAAAGGTCGGTCCGTCGAGGCGTGAAACATTTGGCAGCTAACGCTCGCGGCTGATCGATCGCAAGCTCTGTTCCGCGCTGCTCGGCCGATAAAAGCCACGAGAGCTTGGATCCCTCCCTTTTCCCATACCAACTGCTGTCGCGGGATCGAGTTTATAGCTGTTAATTCCGCTTCGATTCTGTTTAACACAGTAAACGTGTCAATATTACAAGCTTTTTGGTCTAATGGCTTTCCAAATGAGGGGGATAAACCGTAGTACAGGTGCGAGTGGGATTGATAGCGCGAGCATTCGTTAGCAAGAGATTCGTGTGTTTTTATCCCGTAAACTTTTATAAAAATGAAATATTTGTCGCGGATAAAGAGAAGGAGAAAATAAAAAGTTGTTTCCAGCTCACGCGCGCTTTTCAATTTTCAAATGGAAATCCCTCGACGAGCGGGAAATTAGTGTGTATACATGAATATTGGAACTACAGCTGCTCTAGCTGCACTTCCTTTCTCATTTCCGTATACCCATGTACTATTATACACTGTTTGACAAGCGCGTACCTGTGTATCCTCGAATGCCATGAAGCAACGAGTTTTTCTCGCGAAATGTGTGTATGTACCTATACCCTCCAACCACCACCAAGTTATTCTTGGAAAAAAACAAACAAACGAACGAACTACTTAAGAAAAAGAAAGAAAGACTGTAATGGTCACAGGGCAAATTGTACCGATTTCCTCGGAACATATGTATATTGTATAACAGAGCTGTACTGCAGATATAGAGGTAATGCACCAAAGCAACAACGCCATCAAAACTCCCTTCCGCGTCTCTATCTCGTGTAGACACTGCAAAAAAAAACATAAAAGTGTCTGACGCGTGCAACAGCCAACCCTGGAAAGAAAGAAAGAGTTTCGTGCATACACATATACACCTATACACACACACACACACAGGCTCAAAAGCACGAGAGAGCGACGGGTACGGCGATTTACGTTTACATTGGATTTTCCTCGAAGCTGCAAGCTCGGAGACTCTCGGGCATGTACCATATACCAAACAAACGTATAAACTTTAGCATAGTAATTCCGAGGAAAAGCAGCAGTAGCAGCAGCAGCAGCATACGGCTTTAATTTTGCAAACCCAGCAGTGGCACAGAAAAAAAAAAAAAAAGGAACCAACTCGACTTTCATGTATGGGGGGTGTGTGTATATATACCTACACACAGCAGCACCTGGTATAAGTATACTTTATCCCAACCCTCGAGTCCACTCCGTATGTATGTACGTATATTACAGTTGTGTTTTCTCTCTCTCTCGGTTGCTCTTTACCTGCCGTTTTGCCAGCCACTCGCTCTATACTATATAGGTATGTGCATACCCGGGCAGTGGCAGCAACAGCAACATCAGCTTTGCTGTCTGTACTTTCCGCTAACAGATAAACGGAGAGCTAAAAGAGCTTGAGTGCTTTGCTGGTGTGCATCGCGTGTGTGCTGCCTGTCTCTTCCCTCGTATACACGGCACTAAACTTCCAATCCGCCTCCTCCTCCTAACTTCTCCCTTGCCTGACTTAACTGGGTATACACACAACGTGTACGTGTGCGCGCTTTTCCAAGCCCCGGAGCGTTCGAAGCGCATTTGCGCGGAAGAAAAACAAAACGCCACGCGAGCTCTTCCCACCACCTACCCCTTTCTTTTTCTTTTTTTCCTTCCTACCCTCATTTTGCAACTTTAACTGCTGCTGTCACGCGTTCCACATCGAGACCCTTCTTCGACTCGGCTCGATGGCATGTGCCGTTTATCATATATATGCTGCAAATTTGCAGTCAAACGCCCGTTAAACCATCCGCCGGCTATCGCGTCTCCACGACCCTTATTTTCTTTGATCGCGCTCTTGCTGCCCCTTAAATTTAATATTACACCTCACACGCGTTCATTCATGCCCCTGTGTGTTTAATTTACCGCAAGAGTTTAATTGAACCTCCCTACATTATACTATACGAGGGTACACATAATCCACACTGGAGCTTTTTTTTTTACGTTTACGATGGAGATGGAAAAAATATATATATACGGGATCCTGCGTGGGTCCAATAGCGCGTAAATCAGAATGTTAATAATGTCATTTAAATAATGGCCCTTCGACTTTGAAATATCGACGCGTTCCGCGAACGTACGCGAAATTCGTCATAAAGTTGTTCGCGAATCCAACTTCCCTCGTCGCTGTGCAGCGCTTCCCAATTTACTTCACGCATAAATGCATATGCTGCATCCGAATCGATTGAATTTGAAATTGCTTGTCGGATTGGAGGGACTATAACAGCGGAGCCGTGTCCCTTTCGATATCTGTTTTCGCGATTGCACCTCATGTGTATATACGTATCCACCGCTCGCGCAATTCATCAAAAGCGATTTGTTCGCGAAAATGTTTTTCCCGAGGATTCGCGCCCGCGTTTTTTCATCCTAACGCGAATCGATACATGTACATTTTGCAAGACCCATCTACCCTTTGGATCGACGCGTATTATAGGATACATATCCGACGTGCACAATGTACTTGTAAATTTAAAGCCATCGGGCTAAGAGCTCGAGCTTCATTATTCACCGGTGTAAATTAAGATCGACGTAATAGTAGTACTGGAACGTCTGGAACGTCCAAGTATAGACATTTGAAGATTTGGTAAACTTCGATGTCAAAGCCTACGTTTGACTATTGCGTCGATTGCTATTGGAATATTGTAATAGATTTCCTTTGTTTATTATTAAGAAAAAACAATTATTGTAACGCTTTTTCGAGTATTTTCAATAAAACTAAAAACATTCTTTTTTTTTTTTTTTTTTGTTACAGTGCAATAGAATTCCCTGTGTAGACATGATGGGCACGCGAAAGGTAAAGTAAACATATTTAGTTGTTAATTCATACCAACGATTGTGCAATTGACACGTTATTACTTACATTGGAGTGCCAGCAACTATCTAAAATATGACTTTACACCATAAGACTATGTATTTTCAATGACATTGGAGTATATCTTTTTTTTTTTTTATATTATAGTGTACTGACTACTATGGGTATGTACACTGTCTTTATTTATACAACACTTTACATTGTCTTTTTAACATGTCGCTTTTACATCGTGTCATTATACATTTCTCTAATTTTCGCTTGTCATTACATTTTCGTTCTTTTATTTATTCGCATATCATATCTTTTTTATATCTTTCCGGTCACGCAGGACCGGTTATCGAGAGCTCGTCACAATTCATTATTTTTCAATCGCTTTATTATTTTTCTTTTCATCTTAAAAACTAAATCTTAATCCTAAGTCGGTTTCATGAATTCGATACCCAGCAAGAACCATCAGAAAAANTTTGCCAGCTTGTATCCGATTTACTGTGCGGAATGGTAATTTTTGCTGGAATTTCTCTGTAATTTTTTGTTATTTTTTTCTCTCAGTGTAAATCCATGGACTTTGCATGATATGTCAGGAAAGCAGGTCTCGGATCAAACTAAAAGTTATAAACGTGCAACCCCGCGCTGAAAAACTATCTAAAATATGACTTTACACCATAAGACTATGTATTTTCAATGACATTGGATTTTATCTTTTTTTTTTTTTATACATATAATTAAAAACTGTATGAGATTATTCTATGTCTACTGTGCGAGTTGGCGGTAAGGAGGACCGTTGCTACACTTTACCTCAACTCGTAAAATTATGGAAACGATGAGGTTCACTGGCCGACGGCGGCTGCTACGAGTAATTTTACTTTACAAAAATCATACAATCAAAGTTTATTCGTAATTCAGTAGTATTTGCCATAGAGGACTAGTTATTTTATAAAATTAGGGATTTTCGAGGTAAAAACCTTGGTTTCAGGTTACTGCGAAACAATATGGTAAACTGGGGAGGTGAAAGAGAAAAAATTCAATTTAGGAACGAACAGACACCTTAGTATCTACATGTACGACATTTGAGTGTACTAAGAGGTTTCGTAAAGTGGAGAAGGTCTTAGTTTGGAGTAACTAGTTAAATTTTATGGTTATCTGGATGAAAAAAAAAAAGAGTACTAATCTCAAATTTGAGTTTGATAAGTATACCATCTAGATTTTTGATAAGAATTATCTTAAAAATTAGAATAGCATAAAATACATCCCATAAAGACTGTAATTACATTGTCCAACGCTAGCGTTTTCAAACTGCTAAAATAGGTTTTTTAAGGTAGCGCTTTATTCCCAAGAAAATTGAGATAGCCAAGTCTCTCCCCGAGGCGTCGTTACACTCTTGTTCTGAATATATTATGAGCTTTCGTAAATTAGTTTAGGTCCAAAGTTTCATTTTGCGAATAAAATAAATATTTTTATATAAAGTCTGTGAATCAAGAATTTGGAATTGCAATCAATTTAAAATTAAAATTTATGGGAAGATAAAAAAACTTGTACAGTACATCATTTTTATATTGTACATTTCTTTTCTGTGTCGTTATACTTTTAAAAACAAAAAATGATTGAGATTGACTGTTAACATGATCTAATTTGCGTCTCCAACGATAATTTTTTTAGCTACACCTACTGCAATATCGTCTTGTTACTCCTTAAAATGCTCAAGTGACAGAAATGCCAATATTTTCATGATCAACCGCTAGAAATCGCGTTGACACTTTCTTTTTTACCTACAAACTAAGTAATAAGAACTAGATAATAACACATTTTGCACTGATTGCACAAGGGATCCTGTAACTTTGGGATAATTTTAATAAAAATAAACTTGGAAAGTACGTAATAATCGAATTAATGAAAAAAAGCTTTTCTTCCATTAACAAAATGTACGACCCGTGGCGTATGGTGAATCCATAAAACCATTTTTTTCTTTTTAAACTAATCTATTTGTTGTTCTCGAGCGAATCAACCAATCAACACGAGTTGAGGCATGTTGGAACATTACGCTCCTGTGTAATAAAAACACGCAGCTCGGACGGATATTGAGTGTGTTTGTATCTTGAGAGTCAATACTCGTTTCCCCCCCCCCCTCATTATTACACATAATCAAGTTAGATTAATCCAATTGTTTGACGTACAGACCGGCAACGACAACAGATCGATATCATCTTTCATGCCGTATTATACTTAAGTAAATTACTTACTCACCAAGGCACAAGTCCCGGTTCATCGTAAGCCGGACCCCGCGCGTAAAGTTAGCGCCATTACGGTGTAATTATCCGCGTTTATTCACGGCAGCGCTCTTCCAACGGGGTTATACGGCCGAGGGGGGATTTAGAAACTTTTTTTTTTTTCCTTTTTTTTTTTCCTTTTTTTTTAATGCTCCAACTTCAAGTCCGCAGTCGCGTTTTGGCGTTTCTTCTTCTGGTGTCCGCAGTCGCGTTTTGGCGTTTCTTCATCTGGTTTATACGTGGAAAAAGCTCGGGCGCGGCAGAAAAACAAAAAAAAAAAAAAAAAAAAAAAAAAAAAAAAAAAAAAAAGAATTAAGGTAAGTACCAGGCGCGAGTGTGTAATGCGAAGCTTTTAACGTAAAAGCAGGCCTCGGAAAGTTCTAGTTTGGAATTTTCGGCGAGCAACCCTAATACGTACACTTAGAGGAGTCGTGTACACTCAAATATGTGTGTATGTGTGTTGGGCCGTATACACGTGCGCGGAGATAAGCCGGGAGCCTTGTAATTAAAAGCTCGTCCCCGTAACGAGTGATTATGTCACGCGGATTCGGAACAATCTCTCGTTTTCACTCGCGCACTGAATATGGATTTCGTAATTTTGATGAATTACAAAATAATTTGCGCAAACTGTTGTAACTTCCGGGGAGCAAACGGAACAGTTTTAAGAGCACATACACTGCCGGATTGCAAAGTTTGAAGACGATCTGAAGTTATCTGGTTTGCAGGGGAGGCTTTAACTTGCATATTAGTCCAATTGGATGTACCTATACGCGGGAGTTAAGGAAATCTGGCAAAAAAAAAAAAAAAAAAAGAAAAGAAATGTATGGGTATCGTTAAAACGATGCAATAGTCCTTTTTGCTTGATTTGATTCCTTTCGAGGACGTTTTGGCGTACCTGTTGGTACAGATATGTAATTCCCCAGGTTTAGAGTGAACAGGAAACTCGTGGATTCCAGTGTATCTTTTAACGAATGGAGGTACTTGAATCGCCCGGTGTCTTTGATACGGAGGGAGGTTTGAATAGCGCACTGTACCGCAGCCCTTATCCGAAAGCCGAGTTCTCTTTCATCGTGCGGTTACATATGTGTGGGCGGGTGTATGCTCGATCGATATCGTGTTCCGTGAACACCGTAAGTTGAACAATTGATTGATGTTTTCCATTGTGTGTTGAGGAACGGAGGGCCGCGCACGTGTGTGTGTAGGTACGTATCTTACAATCGGGCTTTCAGTGACTTCAAATTGAGTACAAGAGGAAATCGTCTCTCGACCTCGAATCTCGCGCATCGCGGCACAACGGAGCGACACAGTATCGCCGACGCTTGGGGGAGAAAAATCTCCGCTTTCACGCCCCTTCGTGTATTTTATTTTTTTTCTCCTTCTTCTCTCTTTTTATTTGCAGTACACGGAGGAACTTTACTGCGCAGAAACTGAAATTCCATCGGAACAGTTTTCCGATACGGGATACTTACCTTTTTTTTTTTTTTTGTTGCTTATTGTATACAAATATATATTAGATGTAGGTTGAACTATCCCTATACTGTATATACATCCGTAGAGTAGTGCAGGGTTTTACGTAGAAAAATGACCAGTTATCGGTAAATATTGTTTCACGAGTCGATCGGTACCTTTAATTATATATAATTAGATAATGTACCGATGTTTGAAAGGGAAAAAAAAAACTTTATCAAAATCGTGCCAAAAAGGTGTAGCTGATTGCTACAGACAAATCTATTTTTTTTCCTGTGTAATTGGGACAACGCTGTAGATGGTATACACTGGGAGAAAATAATAATAATAATTCAGCAAAAATTACCACCCCGCACAGTAAATCGGATGCTAGTCGGCAAAAAAGGGAAACGTTATCATTTTCAGCAGTAAAAATGATTGTTTTAACAGTTAAAAATTTCTATGCTGGAAAGTAAAATTCATAAACCGATCCTTTTAAGGTTTACTGTTTCAACGTGGCAATTTTTACTATTAAAAATAATAATTTTTTCCTTTTTTGTCAGCTTGTATCCGATTTACTGTGCGGAATGGTAATTTTTGCTGGAATTTCTCTGTAATTTTTTGTTATTTTTTTCTCTCAGTGTAAATCCATGGACTTTGCATGATATGTCAGGAAAGCAGGTCTCGGATCAAACTAAAAGTTATAAACGTGCAACCCCGCGCTGGAACTAGGAAGAAGCCACGTTATCGTATACACACACGAAATGGAAAAAATTTTCTTCACACGATTTACAGTTCCCATTCGAAAGTTCGTAGTCGAAGAATTGAAATTCAAAATTTTCACACCTGAAACTACGTGTATCGAAAGGGAAGTTTATCTCAGTTTTTTATTCAAGCCTGGCTCGGACGGTCTAATTTTACTGCAGTAGCCTATGCCCGAACGCTCAGGTACAATCGATACGTATAAGTTTGGAACAGTTGAGTGTTGGAGCCTCGTTATGGCACACGGAAACAAATCCCAAAGTTTCGTGCGGATTTGCGACACACGCCGGTGCAACTTTCCCTGTGAGACCAATTTTATGGTTCAAAGAAGCTTTTCGGGTCTTTGAAACTTTCTTCATATTGTAAATAGAATCACAGTACCAACACTTTGGAGTTTGAAGAGACAAGTTACTGAATTTACGTAAAAATCTAAACTTTTTCGTCTAAGGGGTTATTGATGAAATTTACTTGTTACCCAAGTGAAAGTACGATTGTCACACGCATCGACGC